ACTACTCGCAAAACCTATACAATATTGGCCAGCAGTAATTCAAAAGTAGTACAAGTAACAGAGATCAGACAGATATCCTCACATTCGCTTTTTTGAGGCTTTCTAACCTATAAGGCATTAAAGGAACCTAAGAATACAGTTTGCACAGACCTTTAGTAACTTGGCATTTCACAAGCCAATTTCATCTAACCTTTAATTTTTAGTGCAGCATTTTCCATTTTAGGGTATCACTTCAGAAAGGGCTGTCTTTAAGTATTTTTCAAAACTCCATTTATACCACTTAAACTGGAACTTGTAAGGAAGGCTCTCACCTTACGGGAGAATTTTCTTACGCAAGTCACCAAGGAGAGCCCACAAAATTTTAAGCAATATGAAGTGATTTCCAACAGTAGGATTCCTTGCCACTAGCTTTATATGCCTGTGTATTGCCACTGAGGAAAGCAAAACATCTGACAATATCTGTGTTCACAAAGGCAAAAATTACAAAATACATTATTGCTCATGTAAGATGTGGTCAATATTCATACCCGTGCTTTTTCTACTTACATAATTAATACTTCAAGATAAAGTTGAAGTGTTTTGTTCTCTTTGAAAGAAAAATACAGCATTCTATTGTCCTCACAATTACATGCTGTTCTCTTTGAAAGTAAAATACACCATTCTATTGTCCTCACAATTACATGCTGTTGCTAGGAACTTACAACTCTGCTATAACCTAATCGTCTGCTATTTAGATATGGACTCATGAATCCCATATTTTTATTCTAAATTTAAGTTCAGTCATCGTAGCTAATGTCCTTGATGCTATCTCAAATTGCTGTCATTACACGGATCACTAGAAATTGGAGGTAATAGTAAAAAAGAAAAGAAAAAAGAAAGCTACCAAATTAGATGATGGATAAAGGTTTAATCAATTTAATTTTATCACCAAATCCATTGCCTTCCTCTCGAGCTGTCAGGGCACGAGATAAGCAGAACACGTCGTGAAGCACAACACAATCCTTTTGTGGGGAAGGAGTTGTGTCCCTGAACCTCGCCAAGATGAAACACGCTCATTTATTACTTTGGCACTGCAGGATGATGAAGAACCAAGCTGGTTTCCTCCCTTCATCTTCAGCACAATCTTTCTATTTCATTAATTTTTCATGGAATTTCATTTCACAATCATTTTGCCTCTCTCATCCACTTGCTGCCCTTATTTAGTTTACATTGTCAACTTTTATTTCATGCCCCATTGTATCAGCAGCGACTCTGGCCATGGCTTTTCTACCACATCAGGGATACCTGATGCCCTCCTGCTTCCACTAATTAACCTCACCCAGTAGCCCTATAAATGGCATTGCAAATAAGGGGTCTTAATTGTTGTCTTACACTGGAAAATAACTCAGAAGGGTTATCTATCGTATCCCCTATTTCATACTTACTTTCTGTGTGTTGATTACTAGGAAGTTGCTGGAGGCTGCTGAAGTGTGGCCTTCTTAGTTTTATCAGTAAATGGCAACTCTGCTTTTGTTTGGTCTACTTGTAATGACTTATCTGGGAAAACAAGCCTTCTTTTCAAAATCTATACCACAGGCTACGAAATGGGCACAAGCTGTGCTGAGTTCTGCCAGTACTCTGCCATATTCCAGAGTCCTAAGAAGACACAAGAACCCGCAAACACTGTAAACGCCTATAAACCCCTAAAAATTTTAAATGGATTTCTCTACATCAATAGGCATAATCCTCTCTTCTCTGGTCATTTTATACACACCAATTAAAAAAAACCCCTAACAACTCAAAACCAAGCAAATAGAGAGAAATATAAAATATCTATTACTGCTACCACATGAAATTAATATGCAGATAATCTGTCAAGCATCCATATTTATTTTTCATTAGATCTTTAAAAAATTAAGATATTTACTTCCCACTGAGAGTTACCATAGTGTTTTAAATGACAATGAAAATATTTCTACCTATACTAATTGAACAAATAGGTTTAAGTATCCACATTTTAACTTTTTAATACACATTCTGCACAGAGTGTAAAGCTAAATAAAATCACTCTAAGTCTAGGCTTGCAATATGATATTCACTGCATAGACATTTATTGTTAAGGCAGGATCTTCTTACTGAAAGGGTTGCTGGATTTCATAGGCATGAAAATAAGATGCATGCAAATTAATTACTGGATGATAATATTGTACATGGGGAATAATTTTCAGTGTCCTACACTTTTCAGTGCTTGATTCGCATATATGGATATTTGCTCTCTGACTCTCACTGCATGTGTTTTGCATTTTTTTTTTTTTAGGCCAAACACACAAGGAAATTCAGATATTCAGAGAATGCTGTTTGCTTTCCTTGCTTGAACTTGCTTTCTGCCCCCAGGAAACTCCTAAAACAGAGCATCCAGGTAAAAAAGAAATGAATTGCTATACCCACACACACAAATTTATAATTCACACTAACCAGAGCAAAAAGATGACTAAAAACATGGAAAGTAGAACAGAAGAGATAAGCAACACTGCTAAATACAGAATAATAACTGTTTCTGCCGCTGTACATTCCTAGATATTATATTAGGCAATGTCTCAACCTGGTTTTAAGCACAGTTCTATGTAACGTGTAATAAAATATAGTAAGTTGTATAAATAATTTGAATCCATTTCTGTAAGGACTAGGAATGTGACAGATAAATTAATTTCCTTACTTTGTCTAATACTCACTTTAAATTTAAGACTACAGTGAATGTTTTTGCCTCCTTGTGTTCATAGATATTCCTGTGTATGGATGTGTAAACATGTGTGTAGTTACACACTTTAAAGTGGCTACTAAAAGCATTCCTGCTATAAACAACAAAATATGTGCTGGAGAATAGTTCAAAGCAAGTGTCTTTGGTCTAACTCTCTGCAAAGACAATCTATTAAACAGATCAAACCTGCAAAACAGTGGAGCCAACAAAAAATCTCATTAAAAAAATAGTAATTTAATAGCCTAATAAACACTTTCTTGACCAGTTTCCTGCACAGTCTGTTTGTTAAGCAACACATCCTTGTGAGATACCATAAAAATAAAAGAAAAAAGGATGGCCACTAAATAAAAATAAAATATCATAACAGTAAAATCCAAACAGGATTTTATACAGGGCATGCTTTAAGTCACAGGTATTTTTTGGCCAGCATGATTTTATAGGAATGTGTATTTTTTTGAATGTATACTGTAATTACAAAGAAAGGAAAATCAAAATCATACGGACACAAATCTGTGATTAGTATACCAACCAACTACATTATTTGAAAAGTGGTTACAAATAGCACATTTGGAAGAATAAAAATGAACACTTCAAGTTCACATCCTATTGATGTTGGCCAGTTAAGCACTTTCTAGAATGCAATTCACCTCCAGCTGTGCATTCTGCAAATAGCTGTCAGCTACCAAGTTATTGTTGAGCAAGTTTTCATGTTTGTTTATTTTAAGACATTCAACTTCCACCTGGTTTGGCAAAACAAAGCAAAAAAGGATGCATCAGAAAAGTCTTATTGAAAGACCCTAACTTTTGTCTGCTTCTAAAAACAAAATTAAACTAAGTACCTTTCCTCCACTGCATAGATTAACGGTTTACTCTTTTCTCCTGGCCAAGTACAGGTCACTAAAGCTAGGCTAAGTTTGCATTTCCATAGAAAAACAGTTTTTCCAGAACAAATCAACCTAAAAAAGTCTGCAGAGCACTATTTGATTACAGGGAAATTTAAAGGGTACTGAGTATGCAGGTGCTCCTTTCTGAGAGTTTTAAAATTTATTCTGTAATGCCAAGTAAAAGGCAGCCTTTCTCACCAGGTGTTATAACCTGCTAAAAATCCAGAGTAACAAGTTCAGGCTGCACACCTGCCCGAAGCCCTGATATATCTGCACGCCTGTTGTTTCTATTTGTGTGCAGGTCACTATTTGTTACTATGATTTTGAATACAGAGAGTTAACAGATGAAAGTAAAAATAGTGACAAATGACAATCAAATGACACAGCCTTGCATTTAGCATCTGGCCCATTTTTACCAGCTACTATCCAAAAGCTGCTTTTGACACCTTCCTAAAAAAGTTATCAAATACTGCACTTACTGACTTCAACATAATCAATAATTAAGAGACATTTAGCTAATGGCACCTATAAATTAGGTTTCCTAGAATCTGAAGGAGAAACACTGCATCCAGAGCATCAGCTTGAGTGCTGAGTAAAACTTGTGTGAGTACCACATAGAGATCATAATTACACGTTAGATTATATTTACTGCTTGGATAAACACTCGGACTTCACATCTCTGCAGCTGACTACCTTGCAGCTGGGCATCTCTGGCACTCTGCTCCTCGTATCAGTTTATTTTACTTTAAAATGCTCACAGCCTGTTAACTTCGTCTTTTTCAGGCAAAACATCAAAAATCAAGCGGTAGTGTGTCATCCCCTCTACAGGAGAAAGCAAGACAGCCTTGCGAAGAGCTGTTATCTAGGGCATATTCCCTGTTCGCAACGACACCCTGTAGCTTCACTTTTCCTGCTTACGGCAATTAGCGCCTTCCTAACCAGGGCTCGCTTACGGACGGGGAACAGCACCGAGACAGAAAAACTTGGAGGACCCCGTCTAGAAGAGGACAGAAGCGGTAGCGACAGCCGCGGGGGCTCCGCGCCGCGCTCCGCCCGGGCAGCGGCACCTGCTGCCCGCGGGCTCGGGGACGGAGCCTGCCGAGCTCCCCCCGCCGCACCCCCGTGGGTTCAGCCTCGGGCCGGCACAACGCAGGGACGGCGGCGAGCTGTGCCCGGCCGCGGGGCAGCGGTGGCCGCTCCCGTCCCCGGCTGGCCCCGAGCAAGGCACCGCCCGGCCCGCCGCGGCCGTCGGGGCAGCGCAGGGCTGGTGCCGCCGAGCGCCGGGCGCTGACAATAGAGCTGCGAGCAGCCGATGCTGTGCAGATGGCAGGCGGACAGAGTGGGAAAAGAAAACAAGAAGAAAATTACATCTCTCTTACCTTTCCTCTTTGATCTCCTCCTCCTCCTTCTCTTGGACTTGCATCTCAGCTGCCCGCTCGGCCCTCCCGACGCCCTGCCGCTGCCCAGGACGGATGTCATGCCGGTACCTCAGCGAGCAGCACCGCGCCAACGTGTTCTCCTCCCGCGGAGTTTCTCCTCGTTCTGGAGGCGGCTTTTATAGGGCGGTGGGTCGGGCCGGCGGGGCTGTGCCGGGGCTGTGCCCGGGCTCCTCGGCGCTGCCGCCGCGCAGGGGTCGCGCCTCCGCCCCGACGTGCCGGGCCCGGCCGGGGCGATGCCCGGGGGCGCCGCCGCGGCTCTGCCGGCCCCGCGCCCACTTTTTGCACCTCTGCGAGTTGCCGGGCACCGGCCGCTTTGAAGCCGATGGTGCGGGGGTGGGGGGGGCGAGGGGGGCGGATTTGCTGCTGCAAAGTCTCCCGCAGCCCAATCGCTCCCGCCGCCCGGCGCTGACATCAGCTCCGCCAGCCCTCGCCCCCAAACTCCGCTCCCCCGGGGCTGCCGGCTGTGCCCGGCTCCCGGGAGAAAGCGAGGGAGAATGGCCCCGTAGGGAATAAAAACATCCTGCCGCCTCGTCTTGGAGAAGCCGGAGGGGCAGGTCGCAAGAAGGGAGGCTGCAGGGAGGATTTCAAGCTTTTTTTTTTTTTTTTTTTTTTTTTTTTTTTTTTTTTTTGTCTGCTCTAGACCATGTGGACACTGAACACTCCGGCTCCACATACACAGAAATGCCTCTGCTGTCCTCCCCAGCCACGCAGTTATTAACTAGTTCACTAATTGCGGTGCTTATTATTCCCAGTGAAAGAATATGAGTTACTGTTGAAGGATCCCTGTGTCAACAAACCTTATGCAAGCCGATAAGTGTAGCGATTCCCCTTGAATCTCCAGTTATTTTTAAGGTACGTGCTCTGTTACATTCACGATGAAGGGCAAAAGCTCTGTGAAAAGGAGTGTGTTGTCGCTCAGACTCACACATTAACACTCTGCAGTGCCTCATTTCGGCAACTGTGCAATTAAAGTGTCGGGAGCAGAGGGGCTTTTACAGAGAGGAAAGATGACAACAGCAATCCTCTGAAAAGCTTGACTACAAGGCATTACATGCTCGTTACAAAAAGCCAGGGTACACAACAGAGAAGATACTGCTTTTGAGTTACGAGAGACCTACTGCTTCTATGCTCTATTGTCCTCGCATATTATCTCATTTGAAAATACGTATCTGGAAACCTGGGTGGTGACTGGAAAATGGAAGAATATCAAGAAAAATTGTGTTAAATAATGAATGTCATCATTAGTGCCTACTGCATTTGCAGTTGGCTGAAGGAGTACAGCAAACCCTTGTTTACCAGAACTCCTTTAAATCTAAAACTTCCTCTTGTTGGAATGTAGGTTACCTGGCTCCTGCTGCTAACCACTTCCACTGCAACCCTCCCAGCTATTAGAAACCCTCTGTGTTTGGCTGGTATACAGGCCTCTGTAATTTTTGGATAAGGCAGAGCTACACGTTACAGATTTTCAAATAAAATAAACAAAACCACTTCCATAAAAGTCTTTAAAGGTGCTCATTTAAACCAGGATAACTCAGGTGTGCCAAGATGATGTCACCTCTTGGACCCTCTATGCTCCATGAAGGTGGTTACGTATGGTAAGAAGGCCCTATGTACCCTTGCTTTCAAATATGTGGCTAAGGGGGAAACTGCCCTGCCCTCTCAACAGCTAAAGAAAGAGAGCCTGAGAATACAGACCTGCATTGCTTGAATGTCAGATATAGTTCAGGAAGCTCTGCATGAAAGTAGGTTCTTACTTGCTTAGTTTTTACAGGTTACTGGCTGAGTTTTTTACAATATACACGTCACCCAAACTGCTACATAGCTTAAGTAAACATCTCTTTAAAGTGCTTCTGTCTATTTCAGGGATAAAAAACTTGTCTGCAGGGAAACAGTAAGGCAATCAGTATTTTTTATTTTCAGTTTCAGCCTTTAACCTTCCTCCCCTTTTCCTTCTGATTTCTGTTGTTCTGACCACAGCTGACTCTCATCTATTAGTGTGGCAAGAACTTGTAGTGAAGTAGTGTGAAGCAGTGACTGCTGCAGCGAAACACAACTTCATGTTCAGCTGTACATCAAAGTTCTGACCAGTCTGGTATTTCAGTCACTTAGTTTAGAAGCCAGCTTTAGAAAAGAGTCTTCTGTATTTCACTACCAATGTGTGTTCTCTCCATTATGGATCTAAAAAGGAAGCCAGATCCAATTAAAAGAAAAATTAGCATCCTGGGACATTAATTCATTTTTAGGAGTGGCTTCAAGCTCAGCTCATTAAATTTTCTGAAGGCTTTATTTCTGATAATATTTTGTTAACATACTCTCAAAATTACTGGAATCTAACATGTTAAGAAGACAGACTAGCATTGCCAGTCCCTAGAGAAGTCATGCTACCAAGCCAATGTGAAAAGCCACCAATTCTCAGAAACTGTTATTCAGTGCTAACAGATTCATGAACTGCTTTTCATTTCTAGGCACAGTTCTAAGAAAGTATCAGCAAGGCAGCACTAGCAATGACAGACCTATACTGGTGGTACAGCTCCCTCCTAGGCTGGTTTCAGGACTGGAGAAGGCATGAAGACAGCTGAAGTCATGCTGGTGAAAGGTTTCCCCTTGGCTCAAGAAGGTGTGAAAGGCAGTCATGTTTTTATACTGTCCAGCTACAAGGTCAGTAAAATTCCTTAAATGTGCTGTGCTCATTCCTCTTGTTCCCCGCAATGGAAGGAGTTGGCTTCTCCACCCAGTGAAGTGCCCTTTTTCAACAGCCTTTTTTAACTTGGATGCAAGATTACCAGTCCCACTCGACTGGGTCTGTCACTCTGCTCAGAAAAACATGCACATGTTTTCAAGCACTTTGCTAAAGTGAGATAAACTCAAACTAGGAAATACAAAACCAGTATCAATGAGGTGGGAAAAAGCTAAATTATAAAATAACACCATCTCTCCCAGTTATGTGCTTATGTCTACTATTAGCCAATGTACTTGACAGTTTTATCATGCCACAGAAGTTATGGCTGTTCCTCAGTGCCCGGGTAACAATTGTTAGTGGTGTTCCATGCTCCGTTTTGTTGAGTAAAGCATCTTAGGATTTTTTCATCTCCATGGGCCAAAAACCTGTGGAGGTTAATATTACCTTCAAACTGAAGTAATTCAGACTGTTTTAAAGGCATTCACACACCTTGACTTACAGCCTGTGAAGAAATGCACATCGTACCAATGCAGAGTCACCTATCCAGGCCTAGGTGAGTCAGCCAGGTAGGAGAGTTTAAGGTGCATGTCCTGATGTAATTTCCTCTTCCCTGTGCTGTCTGGCAGCTGTGACTCCTCTCATGAACCCATTGATCCCAGCCAGTACATCAAAAACCTCTGTCCTGTTCTTGTGAGATAGACAGGTGTCTCTCAGTGCCTGAGGTATCCGAGCAAGAAGTCCAAGCTTTGCGGGATTTGTGACAATTCACTTCACTCAGGTTCTCTCAAAAGAGGAGAGCTGAAGGGCAGTCCAAATATTTTATTAACTGGGAGACTGATGGTGACTATGAGAGTATGACGGGGAAAGAGTGTGTGAAACTGGATGGCAGGTTGCACACCTTAATTATGCATTACCATTTAAATTTCCGTGCCTAAGCAATATAGTGTAGAGTTAGTAATCAACAGAAAAGGAAAAAAATTAAAATGGATGAAGGGAAAAAGCAGTCCACCCTTATTTCAGCTAAGGACTTCAGATGAGCAAATTTAGAGAAAAAATCTTTGAGAAAGTTCTACAAATCTGAATACTAGGTCCATGTGTATTATGGGTGGCCAGTACTTCTTCTGTACAAACATATTTAGATGAAACAAAATAAATATGAGGTCAGCTTTTTTCATTATTCCTGTTTTTTTTAAATTTAGAGTAGTTTGATTTTCAGTGACATGATAATACAAAAACTGCAGGTGAAACAATTTAAATGTTATATTGAACATACAGAAATGCAAGTATGTAAAATTATGTTGAACATCTAAGGTGTCTCAGGGAATGCCCTGCACAAGTGTGGCAGCATTTGCAGGGGGTGCACCTCTCAGAGCAAAAGGGTCCTGCTGAACAGCGCAGAAAGTGGGAGAGGCAAGCTCCAGACTCTGCACTTCCCAGAATATGCACAAACCCTTGAAGAAGAGGCCATCTGGTTGCCTTATTCACAGTTTGCAGCTGCACTGTCCCTTTCCTAAGGAGCTGTGTACACTGCAAGCAGCAGGCCATGGTAGAAATTTTTGCAATTTACTGCTTGGAAGCAGACGTGCCCTATAGGCTCCTGAGAAGGGGCAGAGATGCAGTAGCCACCATCTATTTTTCTCCCTCCTCTCCATCCCATTTTTGTTTGATTTGCCTTCCTCCTGTCTGTGTAGCTAGAGGAAAAAAAAAAAGCCCTTAGAATCTGGAAGATAAAAGATGCTCAAGGGCGTTAAAGCAGGACATGAATGCAATCGTGTGGCTGTGCAGGTGAGACTCCAGAGCCTTCTGCCGCAAAATGCCTGCACTAATCCACTCTTGCCCTACTTACAAGGAGCTGTCAGTGTGGTTATTTGCAGCAAAAAACCACTTTAGCTTTGGGGCCAAACATCACAGGGTGGTGATGAAGCAATGAGGGTAGGGATCCATATTCAGTGTATCAAGTTTGTCAGAAAAATGCCTCACTGCAGACAGGTCCTCCTGTCTGCTTCGCATATTCTTGCACATGAAATATCCCGGGCTGGGTAGCACTGTGGTATTGCATAGCTGGATGTTAAAGCAGCGCTAAAAGGATTTGCACCCTCACTAAACTTCAACAGAACTGAAGGGATCTGGGAGTCTGTGTTCTCTGCTATGGGAAAGCCACAGCAGCCAAGTTTCCTCTCTCACAGGAGAAGCTTATTTCCCTGTCCCCCTTATTTCTCCAAAACCCATATCTAGTCTGATGGGGCTTTAGTGCAACGTGCCAGCAATAGGCGATATCCAACTCCCTGATGAGCATGAGGTAAACATTTCAAAGCTGCTTAGACAATAGTCTCTTTAATGGGGAAAACACCTGGATACCA